ATTAACATGGAAAAGAGAAGGCATACATTTTCTTTTAATTTTACTATTTAATAAATAACTCAGGCCTTGTAAAGTAGATTTTGTATAATTTGATAGCATATTTATTTGATATATGAAGAGATTTTCCTTACCTTCCTAATTCCTTCAGAAGGGCTAGAGACACAGTTGTCAGCTCCATTGTTTTTGCTAATAGTCCTCCAAAGTTCTGCAAATGTGCTGTCTTGTTCCAGAGTATTTGTTCCTTTTGCTTTAAAGTATTCATAGACTGCAGAATCTTTAACTGTACCATAAGACAGATCCATTTGTTTAGCTAAGTCTTGAAAAGTTCTGAAAAGGAATCAGCACAGAATATTTGTAAATGAAAGATTTTCTAGAAAAAAATAAATTAAAAGCGAATGAGGTTTTGGTCTTGCCCTACTCTATCAAAAGCAATAACAATTTGGTCTATACATATACTTCACATTGGCAACGTTATAAAGCCCTAATTACCACACAACATGTAACCTAGCACAGCAATTGTAAAAAACTAAAATGGCTGGCTAAGAAAAAAGCTAGCAATTGACTAATTTATTGAATACTTGTATGCAAGGCTGTTTTTACCTAAAATTCCAGAAGCTCCACCTCAAAACTTAATAAAAAGGTGGATTTTGTGTATACTAGTACAAAAACCATGCATTCTATGTGAGTTATGTTAATGATTAAGGTTCACTAATAATAATTAAAAAAAAACGTTATTCCAAAATCATGTGGTCTACAATTAAATGCTGTAAAACAGTCCAAGATCCTTCCTTATTTAGGCAAGTGTTACACAGTTAGAATTTTCATAATTTTTCACAAGAGATAAGAAAGCTGCTCTACCATACTGATTTCTCCCCCACTTCACAGGGAATCCCATGATAATATTTCTGCCAGAACCATCTATGTCAAAAACATTGTTATGACTGAATCACTGTGATACTGTGATCTTCTATGGCTTCTTTGTCATTAAGCTGGGCTCTAGCACTGGTATTCTTCACCAATTGCCATCCAAGGCCACATTGGCTTCACCACAATTGATCACATCCCTCTCAGGTTTGCTTCCATATCTCAGGTTTGTGCAGCATGGTCCACAAATACAGGAAAATTTGAATAATGGGGCACTCATATCTGTCATTAAATACAGGAGAGGAGACTGTAATTTTCACAGACCCTGTCACATGACCTAATACAATAGGTAGAGAGCACTGTATGCACAATCTGATTACACTGACCTGAACGTACAATCTGATTACACTGACCTTATCATAGACAGTTTACTTTTATGCAGGGCTTTCCAAATATCAGTGTAATCAGAAAGGTAGATAGATTATTAGAAGAAGAGGATTTTGCACCTAGTGCATTGGTTAGATTGTAGGGCTTGTTTTCGCCTATATGCCGGGAATGGAACAATTACTTCTCTTCATGTTACAAACCTAACCAAAAGGGTTGCAGACCACTAATGAGCTAAGGAAAGAACATTGTTTTACCATGCCCTTGATTACAGTGACCAAAACATGAGTCTTACAGCCTTTGATTTCCTGAGACATTATAGATTGTGTCCAGGATTTCCTATCGCAAAAAGAGAAGTACCTGAGAAGTATCTGATATGTCAGCTATAGTTGGTAAGGCTGTGGCTTTAGAACTCTCTGGAAAAGTCATATCAACAAAGCTCCTAATACACCAGCCTACACTGCAAATTTTGGTCCTCTATAGCTTTTACTTAAATAACAAACTCAAAATGTAATCCTTCTTTAAACTTTATTTTATACACATGCTTTTATAAACAATAACAAGTACTGTAACTTAGTAAAAAAGATCAACATGTAAATCCAGTTTTGTTAAGAAAAACATAATCCCGTTAGTGATA